CAAATGCCAGCAGAATTAAAATTTCTAGAAGAAACATCTACACATTGTACTTGAAAAATGATTAAAAAATGTGCTTCTAGAAAAGCGGCTTCAAGGAACATTTTCACTCTTGGGAAAAAAAAAATAGAACATCTTCATTGGAACAATAATGAAATTTATGATAGCTCAAGTGATTACGGTAGTGTTAGTTAATTCCCACTTTTCTGTAAATGTTCAACTGACCATGATTTTGACTTGAGTGATATGTGGTTGAACAATGGCCTGCACATGATGAACATGCAAACTAAAAATAAAAGAGAAATTTATTAAAATAAAAGGTGATAAACATAAAGCTCTTGCGAAAAAATTGCCACCTTGCTCACCTACCAATAGGCAATAGCTCAATTGGTGTAATAATAAGATATTTGTCCACAAACCTTTAGTCTAGTGATTAAAGGCACTTGAGAAAACATCAAAAGCCTTTTTTTGAGTCAGAACTCCCTCCCTTTCCCGTACTTGCATTAGGGTTTTGCCCTCCTAATGTAACAAAAAAAAAGAAAGAAGATATTTAATGTATAAGTCTCACATTTGAGTTTAATTTAATTTAATTTTAAATTTATTTAGTTATGTATTGATTCAAGTTTTATTATGTGTGAATTTTAATTAATTTTATATTAGATTTGTTTAAGTATTTGTTGATTGTTTTGTTTGTATGATTTAATTAAACATTTTTTTATATGGATGTAATAACTTATTATAATTTTAACTTGTTAAAAAATGATAAAATTTCTTGATACAACTTTTTATTATATATTGTAATATTTTAATATTCATTCTTAATATAGGTTATGTAATAAAGTAATAGAAATTTTTAGTTTTTTGAGACAAATGTGATAAAACTTCTTTTAACCTTGTATTTCACATCCTTATAATAATTTTTTTTAAAGAAAATTTATAATTATAATCAAATATTACATCTAGATAATCAAGTGAATAATAAATTATTACATCATAATCAAGTTACAAACTCTAAATAATTAATTAATAAATTAAAACATAATTACATAACTAAATTCACACAAAATAAAACTTGAATCTAAAATCTCAAGAATTTAAGTTCTTTTCTTATAATAAATTTAAACACATTAAGAAAAAATATGTAATGTAAAACAAAAGGGACAAAACTCCCTATTATAATTTTTTATTATTTATTTGTAATTTTTATTAATTATTCTTATAATAAATTTGGCAATATGTATAGTGATAAAAATATTATAATTTTTATTAATTATTCCTATAATATAGTAATAAAAATATATAAAGTAAAACAAAAATGATAAAACTTCTTTTACCACCTTTTATTATCTATTACAACCGTGTGTTATATCCCTATGATAATTTCAATAAAACAGCAAGAAAAACAGGTAAGATGAAAATAAAAGTGATAAAACTTATTGTTATTATTTTTTATTATGTATTACAATTTTTTTTATGTTACGTACACATCCATCTACTAATTTCAATAACAATAACAAAAAAAAAAAAAAAAACATGTATCATGAAAACAAAAATGATAAAATTTTTTGTTACAACTTTTCGTTATACATTTGTATAATAGTTACAGTAACACAATAAGAAAAATATGTACTATATATGAAAACAAAATATGATTTAGACTTTTTCTTACAACTTTTTTGTTTTCCACATGTATTGCATGTTTTAGTATTGCATTCCCCCTATCGAGCGAAGGCTATAGAGAAGACGAGGGAGAGTATTAGCCATCCCATTTCCAGCATGAAATTAATATCCCACCAATCTGATTGGGCCAATGTCCTATATGGTTCCTGTCATCAGAAAACAATCTCTCTCTCTCTCTCTCTCTCTCTCTCTCTCTCTCTCTCTCTCTCTCTCTCTCTCTCTCTCTCTCATGAAGTACTGGTACAATTTATGGGCCCTCTTAGAATTTTTCTTTTTTTGTTCTTGGGCCCTTTGAGAATTTAATAAGAGGGAAGAAGAACTTAAAATAACGTGCGGAAAAGACAAACCCAAATAAAGTGCGGAAAGAATTTAAAAGCTTTTGGTTATTGACAAACGAAAGATTCACTATACTATTTAAGAAGTAATAAAAATTTTTATTATTTTATTTAAATATTTAAATACACTTTTAATTAAATTTATGATTGAAATTTATTAAAATTAAAATTATTTTTAATTTTAAATTATTAAATTAATTTCAATTATAAAATATTAAATTTAATTAAAAATAAATTTAATATTTTTAGATAAAATACTGAAAGTTTTCACTAGCTAAAAAATAGTGGAGAGGTTTTTTTTTTTTTTTTTTCATTATTGTTATCAAATTCAAAGGTTATTGTTATTTATTTTGGTTTTTTCAAGGGAAAGAAAGATAAAAGAGCTGTTTGGTTTGAGAAAATTTGAAAATTTTCTCTCAAATCTTATGTAATTTTCACATTTAATTCATGAGTATTTGATTTTAGAGATAATTTTAGATTTCTAATGGAACCTAAAATTTAAGGAATTAGAAGCTCATAACTCCCAGTGTTTTTTCTAAATTTCAGAATGAAAGTTATTTTTATCTCATATTTGACATGAATAAAAAATTTATCTTTTGAAAATCAACGAATGAAAATTTACAAATGCAGTATTTAAAACAAATATAACGTTTTAAAATAAGAAACATAATATTTGTTAAATAATAAAACACTTTTGACTAAATAATAAAGATAATGTTTTTTATGTCAAAAATATGATTTTTGTTAAAAAGTAAATTTTTACCTATCAAATACCCTGTATATAGGCCAAGGGTTTTGGTGTTTAGGGTTTATCTGTGTAGTACCAAAAATTGAATTTAGGATGTTTTAATAATTATGTCAAATTTTATACAAAAACCATAAATATTGTGTTTCTTGGAAACTAAACATAGCATTTGAATATTATTTTTATTTTCAATGTCAAATAAGATATTTTTATAATTTTTCACTAGAATACTACGATTCTAAGTTTTGAAACACAGTAATTATAATATTTTTTTTGTAAAATTTTTTTAATACAATAACGATGTTTTTTATGAACAAAACGTCATAGTTTCTAAAATTTGAAATGCAGTTTTTATGAATTATTACGTTTTTCATGAATAAAACGTCATCTTAATTTTTAAGATTTGAAAAAAAATATTTTGTGAATACAACGACGATGTTTTTTATGAACAAAACGTGATCGTTTTTAGGATTTGAAACAAAGTATTTGTTGATTATTGTTTTGTAGAATTTTTTATATAACAACATCGTTTTTCATGAATAAAACATCATAATTTTCTAGAATTTGAAATATAGTATTTGTGGATTATTTTTTGTGCTATTTTTTTAATACAACGACGACGTTTTTCATGAACAAAACATCATCGTTTTTAAGTTTTGAAACGTAATATTTATGGATTATTTTTTATTAAATTTAATTTCTAAGATTTGAATCCCTGGAGTAGTTTTTTTTTTTTTTGTTGATTTTTTTAATACAATGATGATGTTTTTCATGAATTTTTTTTTTTTTGTTTTATATCAACAGTCACATATTTATATTTATAAACATAGTTTTTGATAAAAGACTACTTTTTTTTTGTCAATATTTAATTTCATATTACTTTGGTCAAGCATGGTGTTTATATTTAACAAAAATGTTGTGTTTATTATGTAATGAAGAACATTGTAATAAAAATATATTATTAAGTAATATGAGTTTCTTCAACCAAACATAGGAATATAACAATTCTATATAATGAATAATCACCTATTATCCAGAATTTATACTTTTTTGATATCACTGTCCTTCAAAAAATTTAAGATTCCGTGAATCAAACTTTAAAGCAAAAAAAAAAAAGAAAAGTTCCCTTTGTTTTTCTCTTTTTGTTTTGTTTTTTTAAATAATGCTGCATGGTAACATTACCCAAATTAAAGGGAAGCCAAGAACAATACGAAAGGAAAAATAAATCTTATTTTCCAGGAAAATCAAATGAAACGAACAAAGAATTAACATAAAAAAAAAAGAGTTAAAAGTGATTAAAATTAAAATAAAAAAAGGAGATAGTAAGTCTCAGGATTTTGGTTCGTATCTGTGGTGGAGGGTCCTGCGTAGGAGTTTGGTTGATGTCTAGCTCAAAAGGCCAAGCATATCTGTCTGGCTGTTTCACTTGTAGCCAAGCTCCAGTCATACATTCTTCTTTCTTCCATGGATGACAAAATCGAGTAAGCTTCCTGAGAACAAAATGGTGATGTTTTCAGCTCGTATTTATTGAGGTGTTAATCATATGAGAGAAAAGTTTTAACAGGAAAAAAAAAAGAATGCATTATCTTGACTGACTTTTAAGAGATTCATTTTCTTGCTGAGTTCTTCATCCAACTCCTGATTCGTGAGTTCTTCAACCTTGTTTTTTATAGGCCACAGTGATTGAAAGATAATGAGACTGAAAGAAAGTGAAAAAAAAAATGAAGAGTTTATCAGATGGGATGGGACTAAAAATTATGCTAATTTGAGCAGGGACCTGTTCATAAGAACATCATATTTAAAGCCTAAGTTCACCATAGTGATCTGCATCTGTAATTCCTGCATTCTAAACCAAACCCTCATCAATTAAGTGTAGTCATTCCCAAGCAGTAATGGTGAATACAATGGGATTTTAAACAGTAATAAAAAAACACTCAAATCTTGTAAGAATTTATATTCGATTAAATAATTATTACAATTATATAATCAACTAAATTTTTAAATTTTAATAATGGAAATTTCTCTATTTAAAAAAAAATAAATCGTTTAGAAAGATAACTTTTTGTAACTTAAAAACAATAACAATGTCGTTGTAGTATAGTGGTGAGTATTCCTGCCTGTCACGCGGGCGACCCGGGTTCGATCCCCGGCAGCGGCGCCAAGCAATTTTCCTTTTAACTTATTTTCTCACTTGCACTGTTTATTTTACGACGTCGTTATTGTTATTCTTGCAGTATCTTTTCCCTGTCACAGGTCTTCCACTTGTGAAAGTTTGACCAAAAAAATAAAAAACTCCAAAGAAAACTGAATCCGAGATGGGATTGGGTCGAAACGACTCGCCCGGGTCAGGCGACCCAGGGCCAAGCGGGGAATCGGAAGCCACCGCCACGATGGAGCCGCGACGATTCCCTCCGGCAGCTCAGCCAGAGATAATGCGAGCAGCGGAGAAAGACGACCAATACGCATCCTTCATCTACGACGCCTGCCGCGACGCCTTTCGTCACCTTTTCGGTATTTAATTCTTTAATTTTTCTTTATTTTCTTCAACAGTGTTACTAAACCTTGTAAAGGATAAAGAATTGTAAAATTTTGATAGGTACGAGAGTTGCAGTAGCTTATCAGAATGAGGTTAGTTCTAAATTTCAAGCCCTAATAACTCGCTAAAGATTTTTATTTTTTTAATTATTTGTTAAATTTATTATGCAGACAAAACTTCTGGGTCAGATGCTTTACTATGTTCTAACAACAGGTTCTGGCCAGCAAACACTAGGAGAAGAGTACTGTGACATCACTCAGGTTTTATATTTTTAAAAAGAAATGAATTAATTGTTGAGTTTTTCTTGCTCAAATATGCATCTGAATTCATCTTTTTTTTTTAATTAATTTACATTTCATTTATTCTCTGATAATTATGGTGTTTTGTTAGGTTGCAGGACCTCATGGCCTTTCCCCAACACCTGCTAGACGTGCTCTCTTCATTGTGTATCAGACTGCGATTCCTTATATTGCAGAAAGAATCAGGTTTAAATTGAAGCTTTTCTTTCCTTTTTAGTGTTCGTTTTACCGCTCCCTACTTCATCTTTGGTGATCAAGGGATATCTGAAACAATTTTTGGAATTTGAGGAGATGTATTTGCTTTTGCAGCTATAGGATTGCATCCCGTGGTATAACCCTTGCTGAGTTACAGTCTGATGAGTTCTACAGTAGTAATGCTCCTGAGAGGAGTCAAGTAGAGTCATCCACAGGGATCGAAATTTCTTTGCCGTCGGAATCAAGGGCATCAGTTTCTGTACTGTCGAGGTTGAAAGAGAAACTGAGTGGAATGTGGTTGCATGCAGTTCAGAGATGGCCAGCAGTATGATAATTATGATTTTTATTTTTGGAGGAGTTCATTTCATTTTATATAAACCCTTTGTTGTTTTGTCCCTCCTATTGACCTTCTTTTTTTTTTTTCTTTTGGGGGGGGGGGGGGGGGGGGGGGGGGTGTCTTTTCTTGCAAACTCAACTTAATTCTTTTCAGGTATTTTTCTCATTGTTGATGTAGTCTTTTAGATGAGTATATTTTGCTGCTGTTGCATACAGATGCTGCCTATAGCTCGTGAATTCTTGCAATTGCTTCTACGTGCTAATCTCATGTTCTTCTACTTTGAAGGTCTTCAGAGCTTACTCTTCTAAACTTATTAATGAAGTTTTGAAGAGGAACTTTAGTTTTCTTAATATTGCCAATTTTCCCTTGGCAAACGCTGGCAGGTCTCTATTATCATATATCAAAACGTGCAGCTGGCATTCGCTATGTGTTCATTGGAAAGCCATCAAATCAAAGACCCAGGTACATGGTTCTCTACTTGCTTCTAAGTATCTTGTTTGCTTTCATGTAGTTTCTCTTGTTTACATGTTTGGAGCACAGCATCATATAAGGCAAAGTTTGGGTGTACTGGTAGTGAATGTCCCTAACAAGATTTTTGTTTTTAACCTTTTTGACCACCTTCAACCGCAGGTACCAGATCCTGGGTGTGTTCCTTTTAATTCAGCTCTGCATCATTGCTGCTGAAGGTCTACGACGCAGCAACTTATCTTCAATTGCAAGTTCAATTCATCAGACCTCATTAGGGTCCCATCAAAATCCAACAGGTTAATTGCAACAAAAGGCTTACATTGTGCCAATTGCCAAATGCATGATAGTTAACATATAATCTGATAAGCTGAACTTGGTTCCTTGCCTTTAAGTTGAATCCATTTGGATTGTTGCAAGAATGAATGACAACTTAATAGTACTGAAGATATGAGTTCAATCAGCTGAAATTTGAGTCTGGGCTCTTGACTTGCATTTGTACTTGATGAAGCTGGTGAAATAGCTGACAGCAAACCTACTTCTTGCACTAGGAAATCCATATTTAAGACATTTATTTTTTTTTTATCCTCGCTTCAAATGGTTGTGCCACGGGAGATTAGCATATATTGTTTGACACATTGTTTGTCTGGGCATGTAGTAGGAGGTTTGCCTGTTTTAAATGAAGAAGGCAACTTGATACCCATGGAGGCTGACCAGGGTAGTTGGGTTGGTGAATCTTCAGAGGTAAATTCTCAAGTTTCTCTCTGAATATTCTGTTAATGTATTTTGTTTTCATCATCTTCTGATGCTATTTTTTTTCTAGTGCAATATTCACTCTAGGAAAGTGCTAGGTTTTTTTGTTTTGCCCAAAGGAAAGTGCTTAAGAAGTCAGAAGTACTAAGCAAGATGAACAATAGGGTATTTGTTACACTAATTGATAGCAGGTGCAAATGATCAAAAGTTTTAACAATAATGGAGAATTGATCTCATCGAAAAAGGAATATGTCATTGATATTCCCCAAAATTTACAAGCTCTTCCCACAGATATTTGCACTAAATATTACAACTGCTTATCTTTGATTTAATTAGACCTATTAATTATTAGATGCTAATGATGGAAATTATTTTGGGTAATTTAAAATACAATTGAATTCCTGGCTGCCTGCACTTTTGCCAAATAATAACATATAATCGTGAAAACCTGCTTCTGCTGAATGGAATAGTTTCTTCTCTGAGCTTATTAGAGAAATGCTGCCATCTGCAAATGAAACTCATCAATCTGGTTATTGTTTATGGAACTTTTCTGCAAATAATTAACTAAGCTACTGCTTGTGCAAATTCAGCTAGCAGTTGGTGTAAGCAAATGCACCTTATGCCTGAGCAATCGCCAACACCCAACAGCTACGCCATGCGGTCATGTATTCTGCTGGTAGTTTTCCTTGCAGCCAAATACTCTATTCTGCGCATTCTATGTCAGCAGAAACTGCGATAATTCCTATATATCACGATGTTTCTGCAGGAACTGCATAATGGAATGGTGCAACGAGAAGCCTGAATGCCCACTCTGCCGTACTCCCATAACTCATTCAAGTCTAGTTTGTTTATATCATTCAGACTTCTAGCTTGTGATTACAAGCACTGCTGAAGTCAACACCCAGGAAGAGTTAACATATTCAAAGCAACCCACTTATCCTACTATTTTGCTCATGCAAATAATTTTGTAACTATACAAAAGAATAAGGATTAGTATATTGATAGCTTCACTTGGACTGTAATTGTAGTTGTATGTAACCAAGGGCAGGAGTTTTTCAATAACCATTGTAATTGTAATAGATAATTTCCCCTCCAAACTAAGATTAGGGCATATATGCATGGACCTCATGTTCAGTTCCCCTTAGCAAAATTGTAATTTTCCAATAAATCAGTTTATTTTCCCCTTACGGATAAATTTCCATTTATAATTTCATTTTTGAGAAAAAAGTTAAGGTAGAGAAAGGTTATTCAATTTTAGGGTTAATGCATGCTGCAAGCTTCAACGAGGATTTATATTATACTTGATGTATTTGGTACATAATCTATAAAATAGGATAATATGATATTATGAATAGAATTAGATTAGATAATATGATCTTATCTTGTGTTTGATGTGAGTAAGAATTAAGATAGAATAATTTATTTATTAATTAAAAATATTTTTTCTCAAAATTTATGTAATTTAAATTATTAATGTAATTTTTATTAGTATAATAGGATATGTAAGTTTAATCTTATGGATTAAAAATAATTTTTTTTACTTTGGGAGGATTGAATCATTTTATGTCAAGAAGATGATTAATTTTTCTTGTAATTTTATTTTTTTTATATACAATCAAATATAATATAAGATAATTATCATCTTATTTTATCTATCATCTTATGCATCAAACATGATTATAGGTCTTTTACGAGGGGTGGCTAGCAACAGGAAATTGGGATAATAGAGGATTGCTGGCAACAGGATGTAGGGAGTCGAATGCTTTAAATTTTAAATTTTAGGTCAAATTATGAATATAGTTCACATACTATTACGAAATTTGAAATGTAATCCCTACACCATTATTTTTTGAAATTTGATCCTTATACTATTTGAATTTGATAACGTTAATCCAATTGATAATAAAATTATTTGGTCTCAGTTAATTTTGATGATGAGGTCATTGACCATGTTGACGTGGTGTTGACCATGATAAGTTATCAAAATTAACAGTTGAAATTAGATTTGGCTATTACGTGGCAGTTTTTCTATTCGAATGTACAATTGACCATTAAAAAAAAACTATTAGTTTAACCTTATTAACCTTAATTGAAAAATAAAAATTTTTAACAGAAACCCTAAGTTGAAATCAAACAGATACCAAACTTACCAAAATTTTTGTTTCTCAAACCTTAAAAAATTTTCCAAACCTTGAGTGCTTACAGAGGAAGAACAAATCTCGATTGATGATTAACCTTATCTCAAATGTGGATTTCAACAGTGATTGTGTTAAGCTTGATTTTTTATTAACAAGCTTGACTTTTTGTTGAAACTTGTTCTTGATTGTTGCTAACAAACTAATCAGGTTTGTTATTTTAATTGGTTTAAAGTTTAGGGAAATGAATAAAATTTTAGGAATTTTTGTCAATTTTTTTACTTTTCAACTATTGCCATCAACCAAATGAACAAACTACTTTCATTATTTTTGTTACCTTTTTGTTTGTTTGTGATTTAAAATCTTGGATTTAAATAAAGATGTTCGGTAATGGTGTATGGCCTTTTATGTGTCTTTTTGTGTTTACTATCCTTTTATTTTCTGTCCATTTGGGTCCTTTATACCTCTGTGTTTAATGTCCTATTATGTTATTTGCAATGTCAACAATATGTTTACTATTTTGCAATTGTTGCAAAATAGTTATTACTGTTGAAACATTGGGTTATATAATTTATGAAAATAAGTGTTGTCTGCCATATGCTATTTTTATTGAATATTTATTATAAAATATTTGTTTATTATACCATGAACAACTATTGATGTAATTATTTTATTTGTTTTCTTTTATCACTTGTTAATATAAATTGGGAAGTATGCAAAGTAAGGTACCAACATAGAGGCAAATTCAAAGAACTCATATAGCAGTGAGATATGTGAATGGCTTTGTAGATGAGTTTGGTAAGGATGTAGATCAAATTTGTTATTGGGCAATACTAGGAACAATGAAGTATTTAGGTTATAATTTGTTAAATAAGGTTAAAGTTTACTATATTGAGTCAGGAAAAACATTAAGTACATGGTTAAAGTTGTTAACAAAAGCAGATGAATGTATAAGGGAATTTAGTGATCAATTAAGGATAAGTGAACCCATAGACATGTGCAAAACATTTGGGTGGTCAAATTGACAAAAACATTTTTGATGCCTTACTTGAATTGATTGAAGTTGGTGAAGGTGATAATGACTTAAATGATGAGATTGTTATGATTGAAAATAATGAACCTATTAGATAATGTACACTTACCTTAAGTGATTTTCATAATGATGTTGAGGTAAATAATGAAGGATATCAAAATGAAATGAATGTCATTAAGGACCATCTTAAGGGTAAGGAGGATGAGCATGTGGCTGATAGGAAAACCAAAGGAATTAATGATGATTTAGATGTGAATGACATTAATTTTGTTGCTGACTATATTCGTAAAGAAACTAATTAGAGTGATGTTAGTGATGACTCTTTGGTGGATGTAAAATGGGCGAGTAATGATGATTCAAATGATGATAATGATGATAAATTTGAGGCTATTGATAGAATTTGAAGGTTTATTTTGAGAAGATAAAATAATTTTGTGTAAGTGACTCAAATTTGGATGATGATGGTGAGGTTAATGCTAATAGAGAAAGTAATAATGGTGGTGAAAATAATGTTGGTGAAGGTGCTGCAAATGATGGTGGTAAGGATGTAAAAGCTGAGAATGACAAAGTTGATGGTTACATTAGTGATTACTTTGAATATTCAAACCCTAGCAATTATGAGGATACTAATAATGGGTTAGATGTAGATGATACCTATAGAAGTCAGTCTAGCAAAACTTATTACAATATTGGAGTTCTATTAACAAAATTTGAGATTGGACTTAAATTTTCTAATATAAACATGTTTAAAGATGCTCTTTGTGAATTCTCAACAATAAAATTAAGTTTAAGTTAAAAAAAAATGATAAATTAAGAGTAAAGGTAATATGTACTGTCAATGGCTGCAAGTGGGTTGTTCTTTGTTCATGGTGTAGTACTAATAAGATATATATGGCTAAAACATGTGTCTGAGCATTCATGCTTACCCATATAAAAAAACAAAAGGGTTACAACTCCTATGATTGCAGAAAGTATAGTGAACATATAACTGCTGTGTCTTTCATTAAGCCTAGGCACTTGAGGGCACTTGTGAGGAAAAAGTTATGAGTTATTATGTCATATGATGTGTGTAAGGTAGTGAAGGGGATTGTGATAAAAAAAAAAAAGGAAAAGAAATATAAGGGTGAATTCTCAGCTTTGAATGATTATGTGAAAAAGTTGAATGCAACAAATCCTAATAGCAAAATTTTTATCGCATCTAAGAAGACAACCCCTAATGCAGTGCCTACATTTGAAAAAATATATGCGTGCTTTGAAGTTTTAAAAAAAGGATTTTTTGAGGGGTGTAGATAAATTATTATACTTGATGGATGTTTTCTTAAAATGTTGGTGAAGGGATAGTTGCTTGTGGCTGTAAGCAAGGATGGGAACAATTAAATGTTTATAATTGCATAAGCACTTATGGATAAAGAGATCATCACAACCTGGACATGATTTTTTTTTTTTTATCAATTGTGTGCTAATTTAAAAATTAAAGGTAGACTTGGGTGGTTAGTTATAAGTGACATGCAAAAGGTATTTACATTTAAACTTTATTATTAATTAACTTTTTAAACATAGAAATGTTAACAACTTGAATTATTTTTTATTAACAAGATTTAATCAGATTTGTAAGGGACATTTTGCCTTTTGTTGAGCAAAAGATGTATGCTCAACATACTTATGTTAAGTGGGGGAATAACCATAAAGGAAAAGACCTGTAAATGTAATTTTGGAGATGTTCCAGGTCTTCTAACTAGCTACAATTGCAGAAACAGTTACAAGTTTTGAAAGAATTTCAAGGAGGTTTGACTGTAAATGGTGATTTACTAAAAAAATGGCCAGTTTAAGATTGGATTCAAGGTTTTTTTTTGGGACATCATTAAATGTGATATAATAGATAACAATATGTGTCAAACTTTTTATGATTTGATCTTAGAAGCTAGGTGTAAGCCAATCATTAACATGTTAGAAGAGATTAGACTATATATGATAAAGAGAACGTTCAAAAAAAGGTGCGTGTGGGCAAATAAAAAATTGATTATGGCCTAAGAATTATAGAAAAGCTTGAAAAGTTAAAAAAAACTTTCGACCAAGTAGGAGGTTGAATGGAATTGGGGTGTCAACCATGAAGTTTATTAGAAAAATCTACTTCATACAGAAAAAAAGAGTTACGCTATCATGTTAATCAAGCATTCATGTTAATGTAGGAAATAAGACATAAGTGAGATTCCTTGTGAGTAGGGCTGTAAACGAGCCGAGCCGAGCCGAGTAGTGAGAAGCTCGAGCTCATAACTCGGGGCTCGATATTCGGCTCGAGCTTGATCGAGTTTTATTTTTCAAGCTCAAGCTCGATTCGTGATCGAATTCGAGCTACTCGAGCTTGCTCGATTAAGCTCGATTAATATGTAAAAATAAGCTCGATTCGTATACTCGACAAGAATTCGATTATTCATGCTCGAACTCGAACTCGAACTCGGACTCAAAATATTTTATTAATTAAAATAATAAAAATATATTTAAATATAAAAGCTCGATTAGGCTCGCGAGCTACTCGAGTCAGATATAATAATACTCAAATTCGGCTCGATCGATAAGTCGAGCTACTCGAGCTCGAGCTCGATTCGACAATAATCGAACCGAATTCGAGTTTTTTTCGAATCGAACCCGAGTAGCTTGCGAGTACTAATGTATCATTTACACCCATATTTGTGAGCATGTTATAAATGTTATACTGAAAGAAGGGGTTGATCTTGTCAATTATTTAAATACATAGTTTAATAAAAAAACATATTGATGTGTATATAAGCATATGTTAAACCCTGTTAAAGGAAGATTGTTTTGACTGAAAAGTATTAATGGACCAGTTATGCCTTATTTGGTCAAAAAGATGTCAGGTAAACCTGTTAAAAATAAGAAAAAAGGAACTATTAGAACAAAAGAGTGAGGCTAAGATGTAACGGGTATGGAGGATAATGACATGTGGTTACTGTCATGAAGAGGGCCACAATAAGTTAGGCTATCTTAAAAGAGCAACATATGTAAGTCAATTACTTTGTATATTTTATTTTGTTATGTGGTTTATTATATATTTGTTGATTAGCTTTGTTCGTTTATTAATTGTTGTTACTTGCTACA